TAAACTCTCCACAAAGCCCCATATTAGCTCTTAGCATTTTTGCGGTACCTGAGCGTGCATGAGTTGTATGGATACACGAGTCGGTACACCGTTGTGGCTAAGGTCGGCAACAAAGCTCCGATACAGTTAGCAGTGAGCAGTAGATCTGGCCAACGGGTCTCGAATTCAGGCGGCATATCAGGTCCTTGCAATTGCATGGCGCAAGATGGAAGATTGATAGAAACAGCATGGCCCCGAGATTAGGCGATCTTGGCTAGACGGCTCGGCATTGTCCCGCATTCAGGAAGTCACCACCCACACCAACGCCGCTCCCTTGCCTAAATCTGATTCTCTGATACTGGAGGACACCTTTGGGTGCAGACGATCCTAGTAAATTTTGCTGACCGCGATAGGTTCTCGTTTGCCTTTTCAGGTCCTTAACGTGTGAGATTAATCTTCTTGTAACGTCTTTACGCTTTTGCCGGCTTCCGCGTAGCATTGGGGTGATTAGGTTGGAAGCAGTATTGTGGCGATTCCCAATATACCAGTAGCAGGAGCAGGGTCGTGGTTTACACATATTGCGGCGCCGCTGCGCCAAGTCGGAAGGGTCCACCGTTGTGGACCGCCGGCTCTACGAGAACTTCTCTCACCCATTACGCCCCGTAGTCACTCTTTATGTGAGGGGTCTCTAACACCTTCCTCATCAAATGCCAACAGCTGTCAGCACGCAATCTTAACCGACTGGTTGATGCAGGTCACGAATCCGCTTTCGCCTGTTGGACAGTCAGCATCGTCGCGGGATGGGACGGGACGGCGGGACCTTAATTGGCTCACCAGCCGACGCCCCGAGCCTCGCTTGCACGCTTGCGAAGTCTACGATCTCGAGGCATCCAACGAACGGCAAGGGCTGTGTTCTGACCCTGGAGCACATGACAAGTATTGGTTGGCCGAAGCATGCCAAGGTGGCGTGGAACCACGCTTCAAGGTCTACTACAAACGTGAAGGGAAGAAACACGTACAGCACCATACAACACACAAAAGGCGTGTTTGCATCACTACAGCCTCGTGGGAATCGCTTTTGCGACCGGATCTTTCTAGCCCTTGGAGCTATCATACCGATCTTGCGGCCTTTCCAGCTTTCGCTTACACCCGATGGAGTGACGAAGCCCAAGAGATGACAGCCATACGGGCACGGTTCATACCCAGTTCTGTGGCTCTTAGCATGCATAGCTATCACATTTATTTGCAACGTGCGCCTCGAAGGATTTCAAGATGCCAGACCAATCCATGCGTCCCAATACGATCGTATCCAGACTCGTGCATTGTTGGGTTGGCATAGTCAGCATTAAGACTGATGGTTGGATGGTTGGCTAGCAGCAAGCAACTGACTTCAAGTATGCTGGGGCTTACTATATCTTGGAGCGCATGCTGATACCATCATGTCTGTTGTGTGTAGAGGTCTTATGCCCATCATCACAACCTAAAGCCTGAGCCTCCTGCATAGATGACGAGAGGGAATTAGTGATGCCGCACAAGCGCATGAATAGTATAGTCCTTACGACATCTTGGCACGAGACTGGAGACTGCGGAGAAGCTGGAAGCGGAGAGCGGAATAGACGCTGGGGTTCCCTGGTACTGATGGCAGATGATGAAACGCCATGCTCGCGTGAGCTATTCCGAAGAGATCCCCAGCCGATAAGATGAACGGGGCGTTCCAGCGGCCCTCCCGAGATCCTGGGGTACCCAATAGGTTCAGATGGGCGAACGGCTGGAATAAAGAGTGCCATCTTGCGCACGTTGCCAACTGATATCGCTTCTCCCTCCCTCCGGGTTCGCACTGCATCTACGCAATATCGGCATCTACAATGGCACCAACCGAGCAGCAGGAATGGCCAAACCGCGCGCCCGTCTTCCTAATTCCCTCGACTATCTTGTGCATATTGAGTACTGCAGTACTTATATGGCGACTGGTGTATAGTATCAGGGCTAAGCGGAAGCTTGTACTACACGATTACCTTCTCATCATTGCAGCAGTTCGTCAGACCAGTAGCTACGTCAAGAACGCAAGATTATGCTGACTCGTCTGGGCCCAGATGCTAAACGTCGCAACATCGGGTATCCGCTTCAAAACATGTCAGCATGGCCTGGGCCGTCATATTCAGGATCCTAGCATCAGGCTGCCCTACGATATGCCGAAGTACAGCTACTACCTCTGGATCACACAGATCCTGAACCTTATTGCCGTCGCAACGCTAAAGTACTCGATTTGTGGCTATCTTCTAGCCCTCAAATTCTCAAGAGTGTACCTCGCGGTAGTGTGGGCTTCGATCCTGATGGTCACTGCATTCAATCTGCTGTTGCCCATCATGGGTTGCTTTTGCAGTACACCTTTTGAAGCAAATTGGAATAAGTCCATCAAAGGGAAGTGCTTCATAAAGACCAGCTCGCCTCTCACGTACAGTCAGGTCAGTCCTCTCTATGTTTACTTTGTTGGTGTAACCAGCTGATGGCAAAACAGGGAGTTGCCAACTGTGTCACTGATGTGATATACGTCGTCGCACCCATTATCTACTTGTCCACCATCCAGCTACCAAGGCGTACGCAATGGGGTTTGCGTATCGTGTTCTGTCTTGGCCTTATGTAAGTACCCTCCGGGATTTGCATTGACATCAACTGAGCCAGCCATTAGTGCAACCGCTTGTTCAGTTGCAAAGACCGTTGAGCTCTCCGCGTTGATGAAAACAGCCGATCCAACATGGGACGGTGTCAACCTCGCCATCTGGTCCGCATCGGAACTCTCGGTCGGTATACTTGTCGCGTCTCTACCCGCACTCCGAAAGCAATTCGACAGCTTCTTCCGCCGCATTCTCTCGTCGACCTTTCTGGGAATGGGATCCAAGATGGGGTCTGGTAGCAACGGCATACCACTATATAACATCGAACCACCCCTTACCGTCGGCAGCCGACCAACGGGAGGTCGTTCGCGATTCCAAAGAGACGACCTCAATGATGGAGATAGTGAGAAGTGCATACTGGGCGATTCAGAGCTGCCCAGAAAGCGCGAAATAACGAGAACGATCGTACATGAGATACGTAGTGAGAACAGGAGCAGCGTGCAGGTCCCAGATCGGGTACACAACATGTATAGTCAGCTTCAGTGAGCCTCCTAGGCTTAGCTGTCTCTTCGTAGCGTTTCAAGAGTATCCATTGTTGAGTAATCGGAAAATTGTCGCTAATGCGCGCGGGTTCCGTGGCAGTATGGCAATAGTTTGAGTAACCTCGCGAAGGAGTAAGATTATGGCCGAAATTCGAAGGACAGGTCCAGGTGGATGTTACGCTGCGGTGTGGACGATCTTCACATCGCGCAGTGCAGCACACGATTGAAGGAGATGTCGATATCCATGACGTCATCCACGGCGACCTCGGGGTCCCGACCGTCGTGTTCTTGCCCACATCGGACAGCGAGGAGGTGCGAGGAGAGCGCTTAAACATACCCTTGTGTGTGTTAAGATATGCACGTAACGACATAAGTGGTAACGCAGCCTTGTTCCGAACAGCATTGGTATACCGAGAAACCGAGAGGCCGTTAGCGCGTGCCGCGGACGCCGAGGAGCACTTGAGGCAACCCGCGATTTCTTTTGGCGAACATCAGATAAAGCAACTCGATATCGCATACAGAGAAGGAACAATACCTTCAATACATTCACATCAACTCAGAGTACTCCAGCCATATTCAACAATTTACCATGACTTCTCCCGTTCTTGTTTTCGGCCCGACTGGAGCAGTAGGCAGCGCCGCTGCCAATGAAGCACACAGGCGTGGTGCCAAGGTGTACCTCGCCATGCGCGACACGAAGAAGCCATTGAAAGGCATCCAGGAAGAGGGAAACAGTGACAGCTTTGTCCGCGTCCAAGCTGATCTGGCCAAACCCGAGACCATCAAGACCGCGGTCAAGACCTCTGGTGCCAAGACAGCCTTCGTATACGTCGTACACGAGGTCGAAGACGGCATGCGAAGCAGTTTCGAAGCGCTCAAGGAGGCCGGTGTAACTTACATTGTCCTCTTGTCTTCTTTCAAGGTCGAAGATCCTCTGGACTCAGAAGCCAACAAGACGGATATGATTGGCGCTCTCCACTCCGCAGCTGAAAGCGCATTGCGAGAGACTGGCGTCTCATACACCGCCGTCCGACCCGCATACTTCAGTAGCAACGTTTTCTGGTACACCGCAGACATCAAGCAGGGCGAGGTCGAGATCCTCTACCCCAACGTGCGGTTCGATTACCTCGCTCCCTCAGATATCGGCACTGTGTGCGGCACACTTCTCGCAGAGCCACGATTCCAGAAAGAAGCGGGGCAGTCGATCTATCTGTGTGGCCCTGAACTTCTGACCCAGCGTGAGGGTATGGCTGTGATTGGCAAAGCATTGGGGAAAGAGATCAAAGTCAAGGAGATTGACGAGGAGAGGTGGTTCAAGAAGCTGGCGCACATGCCTAAACCTATACTCGACACACTGGCGCGGGGAATGCGGGAGAGTGACGCCGGGAAGGATGATTATGGCAAAATCTACAAGGACGCCGTGGAGAACGTGAAAAAGTACACGGAGCGGGAGCCGACGAAGCTGGAGGACTGGGTCAAACAGAACAAGGCCGCTTTCGCGTAGACTGAAGCTTAGCCTAGCCTTAGTCAAGATAGTAACAAGACCTGAGAACTTACAGCTGCATCCTCTTCTGTATTGCGTGAGACCCTTGAACGAGACCAAAAGCAAAGTGATCCGCGCGAAGTGGACACTGTCAGATAGGGTTGGACACGTCAGTCCAGATATGGACATAGCGCCCGCACGCGCGTGATCCCTGCATGACGAGGACAGGTGCCGATCACCTGAAACCCAGCAAGTTTCCGTGGTCACGACCACGACCCAAACCCCACAATCTCCCTTTATTCTTCAAACCACGCACGACTGCCACCGGCGATAACGAAACATTACTACTACGAGGCCGAGACCCAGAACACCGGCGCAGTCATGGCAGCGAGCATCGAGGCATCGCCGCCAGCGCCTCCAGTGCCGTCGAAACACGCCCCAAACGAGGCGCATACCCCGAGCTGTCCGTCCTGTGGCAGTAGCATAGATATGGCCGAGTTGCAAGACGCGAGGCAGAGGATAGAGGAGCTCGAAGCGCAAATGGAGCGCCTGAAGGAGAAGGCTACAGCAGCTGGTACGCCCCCATTATGCGTCCGACGTCATATCACACCTGAGCCCATACATCCTAACACCGTCTAGTCGACAGATGCGCCGACTACGAAGACCAAATCCGCAGCCTCCAAGCAACGCAAAACGCCCCTAAACTGCCCCGAACCCAAACCTCACAATCCGAAGTCGTCACCGCAACCTCACGCCCCTCCGTCGACGCCGATCCCCCACGTCCCACAACCGCAAACTCCACAAAGGCTTCCCGCTTCTCATTCATTACAAGCCGCTTCCCATCGCCGGCAAATACAGGGGGCATGCCTCCGCCTCCACCACCGAAAGACCCGTCCCACGCACCACCGGTCGACTACACCCTCCTCAACGAGCTCGAGCGCGAGCGTGCCCTACGCGCCAAGGCGGAAGCACGTGTCCAGACTGTAGACTCCGAGATTGAAGAGCTGAGCGTGCAATTGTTTAGTCAGGCCAACGAGATGGTTGCGGAAGAGCGACGGGCAAGAGCTAAGCTGGAAGAAAGAGTCGAGACTTTAGAACGCAGGGACAGAGAGAAGATGGGCAGGCTGGATCGCTTGGAGAAGGCTGTGACAAGAGTGGAGAGAGTTAAGGCGCTGCTGGGTGAGAAGGAAGATCTGAAGAGAGAGTCGGTTAGCAGCGGGTTGTTGTCACCACCGACTAGGAGGTGATGAGATGTGCGGCATTGTTCCTTGTTGCTGTTCTTCCGTGTCATTTGTTACGATACCCATTTAGTTTTGATCTACTGCATCTTAGCGTAGCGTTTGGCGTGGTTGGCTTTACAGTGGGCGCATTCTTCGGCGTTGGCGGTCGGTATCGGTATCTAGAGGGGTGGATCATCCTGTAGGCAAAGCGAAAGACATAGCATGCATTAACATTGTACTCTGCATTGACCATACGACGTTATACTCTGTGTGACAAATGCATGCATTTCTTGCTTCGTGGCTGCCCGGGCAGAATGTACGAGGCCGTTGTATGCATTACATCACAATAGCATGAGGAGGTAGCAAGTCGACTCACCAAAGTTCCGCCAGGCATCGACTCGACTCTCAGCAACAAGAGACCCGATTGTGCAAATGGTTAAACAGCGCTCTGACGATATGCTATCAGCGATGCTATTGATACCCCACAGAGAGCACAATCCCTTCCCCCAGCGCAAAGGAAAGCCAGGCAGCACTGCGAGCTAGCCAAAGCCGCTTACTCCTCTCGTTGCTCTTCCAGCCCAAGCGGTTTCCCACACAACCAAACACACACCCGCAATTTCAAATGTACACTCCCATCTCCATCCACTCCAACCCTAGCACCTTCCAACGCCCGGCGAAAAGCTCCGCAAGACTCATCGCACCGCCACTGCATAAATGGCAACCATGGGATCTCAGATTGATGACCGTGCACTCTGCCCTATGCTTTCCAGAGTTTCACTGCGTAGTCATAGTGCAGAGGAGGGCATTGCTACTTCTCGTCTGGTCATGGTAATCTGGTCCTTGGATCGTGTCATGTGCCTTTTGGTACTCAGTATTCGGGTGAATGGCTTCTGGAATTTCGCATATGCGTTTGTGTGACGGATGATGGGGAGTTGATGTGGCGTGCATTGTCTTGGACTTCGAGCGCTGAAGGTAGCTTTGGGCATACTGAGAGCGCGATTTGAATGGATTGAACGTGATACGTGACTTTGTCGCGTTGTAATCGCTGAATAATGGTGTCGGTTCGGCTCGAATCCCGCGAAAGAGCAAGACTCAGTCGCTTAGATTCAGTGGCTGCTTTCGCACAAAGACATTTCAGTCGTCCCTGTGACCAATATGTGTGGAAACATAGGCATCCATACTGGTGTCGGGAGAGTTGGCCGCGAAAGATGACTCTGTAGTGACAATACCCTCACCTCTTCCAAGGTTACGTCTGATTTTGCTATCGGTGACCGTCCTCCCATAATCATAGCAGCGACTCAGCTGCTAGTGTTCATGTTCGTGACATGGTTCTGGTGCTCATATGTTGGTCGCTCCATAGTATCTCTTTCTTCCCATTAATAATATCTTGCTGAAGACTCACAACCGTTGTGGAGTCCTGCTGCGCCTTCGTTCTTATAAAACGCAGCGCATTCCTCTCTTCCCTTCTCTTTCTTTTCTTTAGCAGATATCCGACTCTTGACTCTACACATACCAAGTTAGATATCAAGATTGTCTTCGAACTTACCTTCAAGACATACAACACCATCACCACCTCTGCTACCAACACACTACTACTACCACTACTACTACCACCATCACCAACACAAAAGTAAAGTCAAGTACTTTACCTTCCACCTTCAAGTGAGCTACAACTAGGAACTCATAAACCCAAAACAATCCTAACAGCAATTCAGCATGCCCGGCTACTGGGACAAGAACAAGTGCGCAAGCGCCGAGGACAGGGCGGCTGCCATAGCAGACATGGAGAGGGCCAATCAGAAGGCCGAAGCCCAATTCCAGTCCCGCCAAGCCCCCTCCAGCCATGGCCTTGTTGGGTTTCACCGAAACGGGAACGGCGATATGGTCAAGGTCATCGTCAACAACATGGCGTGGACGGAAGAGTTAGTTCCTGCCGAGAAGCAGGATTTGGCGTTTGGCCACGTTTGGCTGCCCGTTTGGCCGAAAGGGAACGCAGGGCCCTACAACCACTGGTCTGAATATGGCCAGAATCAGTCCGAGTTCATCCCGGTCATGGATGCGGATATTGGCTTCAACGAGGTCAATATAGGTTTGACTGAAGAGATGAGATTCCTCCAGCTTAAGGAGGTCAGACTTTCGGAGAATTCCTTCGGAAAGTTTTTCGAAGGCGTTGCGTCGCCTTCTCTCGATCCGGCTCGAGAGTACTTCACGATGGCCTCGGATGGTAGTGTCCAGGCACATCCTGCCCCTCTTCCCGCCCCTCAAGAGCAGCCCGGCAACCCCGCTGAAGACTTCGTTGGTCTGAGCGGCGACCAACTCGCGGAGATCCCGTTGTATGAGGACGACACGGGAGTGGAGCCCTCCTCTCTTCCGTCGTCTGGTTCTAGTTTTGGACCCGACTTTTTTTCTGGCAGCGACAAGTCTGCCCCTTCGTCGGAACCCCCGACTAACAGCCCGTTTGCCGACGACATGGCTCCTGGATGGTACGAGCCGTAGCCTACCGCTGCGTTTGACGCCGACATGGCTGCTGACGGTCTCGACCCAACGACGTTCGATCCGTTTGCCGGCTTCATGCCCGCGAAGCCATGAGTTCCGGCCTGAGTTTTGGCAGCGAGGACCTCCTGGCATATGTCTGGCGTTTCGGAGGATTGTGCTTTTTTGGTGTCTATTTTGGGTTTCTTTCTTACTGTTTTTATGTTAATTCTGGAAATACAAACACTTCATCGCCAATTGTAATCAGCTTGCTTCACATGTGATGTCTGATATGTATACTTATCCTTTGGAGTTCAACTAGCTGCAGCAGACTACTAGTATCTCCACAGACACAGCAGCCGATCATAGAAGCTCGTAGATATGAACGTGCGTTGACCCTGACTATTGAGATCTGGTTGAGAGTCACTTCCGTAGTTCATGCTCTCATGTTCCTCGAACTTGGCCAGTACCTCAATCTGCCAATCCTTGGAAGCGCTCTTGGTGAGCCTAACGATCCTAGTGCCAGCATGCATGCAGCTAACAAGCAGCAGAATGGCCTCTGGCGGCGGCTCCGATCTCCATTTCTCCACGCCGTGGTGCGCTGGTAGCTTGGGATTTCGGTCCAGCAGCTTCAACCGCCATACGCCACCACCAAGGTTGGCTTCCGCAAGAACCTGACGACGTCCTGAGATGGGTACATGGAGAAGCCTGATATGATCATCGTAGCTGCCAGTAATGATCAGACCACCTTGGCTGTCCAGATGTACGGGGAGAATAGCAGTGACACCAGCGCCGTGTATCTTTCCATCCATCCAGGGTACGCTTCCTCCAGATCCGTCCGACAACTCCGCAAAACGAAGCGCGCTGTCATCTCCACCCGACAACAATCCTGAGCCATCCGGTAAGAACGCAAGGGTCCAGGCTTCCAAATCATGCGATGCAACTTCCATCTTTGTAGGCGCATCGGACTCGTCTTCCGTGTCTATGACACCGAGACATACCTGTCCGTTCGACAGCGTCATACCGACCATGAAGGACTCCGGATGCCAAGTGAACGCAGTGATGAGTACATCTTCTGGGAAGTACTGGATAGTCTTGATGTGGGCGATCTTGGGGTCGCGCTGCCACGACTGGAGTTCGTAGATCGCGAACGCACCTGTCGAAGTCGCAACGCCAAAGTTGGAGCTAGTGACATGCGTCAAGAAATGTATGTCCAGGATAGCTGATGGAGTCGACAGCGTCTGAATGATGTGGCTGTCTTGGGTTAGTACTACGCCTAGACAAGCGCAACAGATACAGATAATCCGCAAATAATCCTACGTACACTATATCGCCATCAACGCGTACCAATATCAGACTGCCATTGCGCTGCTGATTTTTGGCGCTCACTTTGCCATCGTGTGGAGCGCTCCCCGCGGATTCTTTCTCGTCGGACTTTTCGAGGTTGTACGTGCCGATTATCGCATACTGCGGATTGAGCGGGAAGAACTCGATACAGCTAGGAGGCAGATCGAGCTTGAAAGACGTGAGAGACTGTATGGAAGTCATGTTGCGGGGATGGTGTACTTTTCTGACAGCCTCTCATTTCGGTTAGTGGGCTAAGTGACTAAGCAGGACCAGAGTGACGCAACCCATCTCGAGCTCTCCTTCCTCAAACTGCGCGCCGCTGCGCTTTGTGCGCATCGCAATGACCACGAACGTAGAAGATGTCAGTCAATGCTCGTCGAATAATCCTTCACGGCTCCGATAGCGACTGCGCCGTCGAATTGATGCCTTGCTAATCCCTGATATCGCGACATCGCTGCCTAGACTAGTCCCGAAGCGAACAACACCTGACCACGCGACTTCCATGACGAAGTCCTATTAAAGAAGTCGCGCACACGCGTTCTAACGTGTCGTTTCAATCTCATCTGCGTTGTGATCCATCTCGATACCTCTCAGATTTACCCAATCCGCAATTGACTTACCAGCCATTCGCCATGACCAACATCAGCGCCACAGCAGAAACCTTTGCGTCTGGACGTTACTCCAAGCGCAAGAGGACTCAGGTTACATACCACCTCGATGAACTGGACGTCTCGGACTCAGAGTCGGACTTTGACATGCCACAGGCAAAGGTTCGATGCACCTCTGCGTGAACTACAAGCACTGAGACTAACGAATCTACTCCAGAAGCGTGCAGTCGCGACAAGTTCCCGCCCACTTCCCAAGCGCAAGATCTTCCCTTTCCTCAAACTCCCTGCCGAGATCAGAAACATCATCTACGAGTACACGCTCACCGACCCCTCTGGCATCAACCTCGTCGGCGTATTCAAGCACAAGCGCCGCAACGTAGAACGCATATCCGCCAAGTTGCAAGCTGAGCTCTCCGAAGGATCCAGCTGGTCTGATGCCCAGCGCATGAACAACGGTATCCGGAGGGCTCAAGAAGAATCAGCGCCTCTCGTCACGTCGCTTCTCGCCGTGAGCAAGCAGATCCACCAGGAAGGCGTCGATATCCTATATGGCAAGAACGAATTCATCTTCACTGATAGCTTCGCGTTGTACAACTTCAT